GAGTCAGAGGGAGATTGGTGTTCTTTATCTTCTCTTTGTCATCTGTGCATTGTAAGCAAGATAGCAAAAGAGAATGGAGAGGCTACTTATATAATAGTTATTACTTATCTGCCTGGAGGGCTGATCATTTAAAACACAGAAACCATGGATTACCTTGACAGTGACAAAGTGTGGTCCCTGGACCAGAAGTATGGACATCACCTGGGATTGCTAGAAAAGCAAAACCTCAGGCTCCTCTCCAGATCGACTAAATCAGAAACTCTGGGAGCAAGGCTCAGAAATGCATATTTCATCGAGTCCCCCAAGTAGTTCTGACACCTGCTAATGTTTGAGAATCACTGTCCCAGATATTAATTTCTCCATTAGCATTGAGAAAGCTAGCATCTTCACAGTTAAGTCAAGTATTCAAACAAGTCAGCCTGTCTGATTGCAGTGGTACACAGAAACTTACCCCTGGTGTCCCCCAGGGCACGTTGGACCATAATAGCATTAATCATGTCAGTGTGAACACAAATACAATGTTACAGAGAAAAGAGGTCATGCATACAAATATCCGCCCTCCTCGCTGTTAACGAAATTTGCCCTTGAATACACAGCTCCTGCCAGTTTGGGATAAACATGCCTCTCGGTATGAGTCACCGTCAGACCAGCACACAATGAAGTGGGAAGCTGGGCTGGTTTCTAGTGTGGTGAGCCCAGATCAGGCTCAACCACAATGGGAAGAAATCCTGCACCACTCACTGATCACTGAACCTTCTGAAAAGTCCTCTGGCTCTCTAATGCTGGCTCAGGGAAGCATTCTGATTCTGGCCAACGATATCAGGACCCTCTTTCTGGCCCCTAGGGTCTGTGGAAATGGTGACACAGAGGGTCCCCCTCCTCAAATTAATCAGATACCAAGATCTTCTTGGTGAGGTGAGCTTCCCTTAGGATTTTTTTTCCTGCAAGAATTTGGAAAAGTCAATTTGTTATTCTTTAAAAGACCATTTCTATGATGCGGTACAGGTTGTTTCATCCTTCCTGGTCACCTGACCATGTAACTGGAGAGATAAAAGGCCGGGCCACCTCCCAAAGACTGGGAGTAGCTGACAATAGGGCCGACTCAACTTCTAGCTTCGATACCCACCGTCTCCATGTTCTTCAGTTCATTCTTCATCAAAAATTGCTCTCAAGAGCTCTGGCTAAACTTAGGTCAATGCTTTCCTTCTCTTAGATTAATTTACATTTAGCCTTACCTCTAATTGTCGAAATGAAGTCTTTTTTTTTTTCCTTCTAGATACACATTTTTTTAGATATCAGTGAGTAAGTGGCAGAGGGCAAGGAAACTGTTCTAATTTTTTTTTTAAATATGAAGTTCTTTCCCTTAGCCGTGGGACCCTCATCACCCAGACAGCCCTTTTGCTGTGAAGATGAGCTGGGCAGAGTCCTAATTTGATGTGAGTAGCACGCTCACTTACAAAATAATAACAGCAATCTACGCTTGGGTGTTTTTTTCTCGAGTAAAATATGATGACAAAAACAGGGGCTCCTTTCTCTCCAGAGGGGCGTGCAAAGCTCGCACTGAGTTGTGTGCATAAGGCACTGATCAAGACAATTTATTCTGAAACTTTTCAATTTATTCTGCATCACGGTGTCTCCTTTAATCGATAACTTCCCTTTAGTCCTTACTTAGGAAATGTCTTTCTCATTGGTGTCCCCTTGAAAAGCTCGGGACTTTTCGAGTCAAGGAAAAAAATGAAGAACCTAGAATATTCTAAGGAGCAGGTAGGGGTGGGGCGTTAAGCATCAATCTGAAAAGTAGGGCTGGAAAACTGAATCCAGGAGTGGCTATGATACACTGACGAGGGGGCGACTCGAGCGTATGAGGAATTATTACACCGCACAGAAAGGCCTACTGTTCTCAGACTTCCTGAGGATAAACGAAAATGGGTTTCGGTTACACTTGGCCGTGCGCACGAGTGGGTAGTGTCTGTGTGACTGTGTGTTTTGGGATGGGGGGTAAATACCATTAGAGGCAGCCACCTTCTATACCCCTAAAAGCTGCTTTACAAGACTGTATATGAGGCCAACAAATACTTGAGGAGAGAGAGAGCTCTTTATTCAGTTCCACAGGTGAATGAGTTGTTTAATTTCTCTGGTGTTTACTTGGGTGTATGGAGTAATTCTAGAATGTAAAGAAGAGATGGGCTTTTGACAAGCATTATAAAGAAACAGAACTTGAGTTAGATCCTTGACAAATACAGAAAAGGAGAGGGAAAATACCTTCCCTGATTATTCAAATAGAAAAAAATGGGGCAGAAGGGAGAGTGGATGTACAATTAGTAGAGGTTTTGGAGGCAGAGAAGCCTGGGTAGAAAATCAGCTCTTCTACTTTCTAGCTAAGGAATCTCTGGAGAGTTTCTCAACTCTCGTGAGTCTTTTCTTCTTCATCTCTTAAAGGAGAGGAACACAACTGACCGTGATGGGTTCGAAGATTAGACATAAGGTACGTAAAGCTCTCAACACAAAGCCTGCTACTTAGTACGTGTTCAATAACCAGCAGATGTAACACCATTAAAAATAAACAAGACTGGCTTAGATAGGTGTGGGGAGGAAGTAATTTAAGAGCTTGGAGAGAATCCTCAATGATTAGCAGGAAGCCTTGAACTTTATCTTGTCACTCATTTAGGTTTTTGAGCTGGAAATATGATGACATCAGTGTCCTAAAGGATTACTCTGGTGCCAATCTGTAAGACACATTTGAGACACAGTACACCATTATTCTCAGAAGCCACCAAGAAACAAGATTACCGTGTGTGTGTGTGTGTGCGTGCGCGCACGTGTGCGTATGCGTGCGCGTGTGTGTCCCATGCACCTCAATGTCAGGTGGAACAGGAACATCTCCCCTTTAAGGGCAAACTGGAGTAAGTTTCACTGGATCCTATTCTACCCGAAAAACAAGTTGGGCTATCCAAGAATGGCAGAAAGCTTCCAGGAAACGAAACAAACAAACAATGATGTCCCAAGTATAAAACTCTATTTACCTTGATGCATCTCCCTTGCTGCAGAATTCTTACTCTCTCACGTGGCTTCCGAACCATAAGCATTCTTATTAAATTAGATGAGTGTTTACAAAACTAAATCTTGAGTATTGTTTATTCTTCTATTCTCTAACAAAGAGAAATAATAAATCTCTTCGTGCATATTGTTAAAACTTGCACTCGTGCACACTTAAACTAGACAACTATAGCTTTTAAATGAGTCTAGTGGGCCTCTGGAGTTTAGGTTGATGAGCGTATTCAGGAAGACAGATATTGACTGATGAACCCACAAAAATCTCTCCTGCTTCTTTGTTATAGGATACAGCAAGGATAAGATGCCCTTGAACACATCAGAGAAATAATTATTTCATCAAAATTCCTGGATCAATAAGTGTCTGCAACTGGAAATGAGTGAGAGCCTGGTTAGGACACCAAAAGATAACAAAGGTCAAAGTATGTCAGCAAATGCCAAGGGTCAAAGTATGTCACAAATGCCATTCCACACTAGCAGAGGTGTGATCCGCCAGCAAGTTTTTTCTCCAGTCAGTATCAACCCCAAAGCAGACAGAAACATGGCAACTTTATTCAGGAGAGAAGATGATGGCACAAAGCAGTGTGAGTGAAACCAGCTCTAAGTGGTGAGCACAACAGGGAATCTATGTCCCTCCTTCAGAAGACATCTCATATTCTCAGGATGGAAGCTGCCATGATCTGAGCCTGCTCAAGGCTGATTTGTGTCAGCTCCAGGGGAAGGAGCAAGGCCTCTCTGGGAGCAAGAAGAAATGAAGAGGACTGGAAACGTCTCAGAATCGAGAAGACACGGTTCCAGTCCCAGCTCTGAGAACAAGTGAACCTGTTTCAGCTATTCGAGAATCTGCGGTGAGGTAGATGCTAAGGTATGTGCTGTGTCACCTGATTAGGTAATTGTGCTGGAAATTAAAGATGGAAACGGTGTTGCTTCTGAGAGGTTCATTGTCTAGTGATGGAGCCAGTGGATGTCAGCACTTGTGGTAAGTGCAGTGACTGATCCACGTGCATCTTCGATGGAACACAGAGGACGAGCACTTGGTTCAATTACTCGCTGTGTGTCCTTGAGTGATTTACTTACCCTTTCTAAACCCCAGTTTTCTTACCTCTAGGATGAATGCCTATACTACATGCTCCCCTGTGCCCTTCTCACTTTAAAAGCTATGATGAAATTCCTTTCTTTCCATGGCAGCTCTTGTGTCCCTGCCAAAAAACCCTGCCTTCCTCTGCTGTCGGCTCAGGTCAGTGCAATCAGAGAGCTGGGAGGCAGCAGCATGGGCTGACACAGACTTCAAAATAAAAAAGGAACAGCCTTTAGCCAGTGGCTAAGGACTAAGATAACACTAGTATGTGACCTTTCAGTGGCCTATCCAAAGTGTTCCAGTTAGAAAGTGGCTACTGACTTGTAAAGCAAGAGTGAACCCAGGCAATCTGAGATTTAAGAAGTCTGCGTGACTTAGAAATACAGTTGCTTTTTGGGGACTACTGATCTATAGTACACATGCCACATAGAGCAAGTCTGGGGCTTCCATGGCCCCACGGGAATGGAATTGAGAAATGGCGTTTGCAATCCCTCTCCCAATACTCATAAATTACTCATCTCGGGAAAACAAACTCAAACCCATTAGCAATAGAGATCAGGGCCAGGTTTTTCTAGTTAGGTAGGAGGTAAAAACGAAGAGCCCTGATTTTTATTAAATGTCAACATCTGTACTTGTTACTCTGAGAGTTCCTAGAAGCCCCCCAAAAGAGAGGAAACATTATTAGAAGCACCTTTATTTACACCAAATAATGTCACTCAATTACCACTTACTCAGTGAAAGACCAAAGCGAAGGCAAGTGATCATTAAAGGGACACAGGGACAGGATGGATAGAGCAGAACCATGCTCTCTCTCTTTGTCCTAAGGTGCAGCCTTAGCACTGTTAGCTGTCATGATCCTGTTTTCACTCACCCATTAGTGTAATCAAACGAACTGCATTTCCGGCAACAAAGATCAATTTGAGTTCAGCATGTTCACCTCAAAGTTATTCCCTGCAGGCGCTTTAAGAGAAAGTAGATGTAGATAAGCCATTGAAATGGTTCGAGACAGCCCCCCAAGAGAAGACGTCTGTGTTTATGGAGAAAGTTATGTCTCACAGTAAGAAAATGTGGCAGAATAAACCCAAGGGTGGTCGCTCACATTATAAAATCATGTGGTGAAGGTCCCTAAGACATATTATTAAGAGGAAAAAAATCGAGTCTCAGAAAAATGATCATAGAATGATTCCATTTTTAAACCCCTATCAATCTATCTATCTATCTATCTATCTATCTATCTATCTATCTATCTATCTATCTACCTATCTACCTACCTTCCTATCTATCATCTAATTCCTGTCTAGAAAGATGCACACATTAACAGTCCTACCTCTAGAGAGAAGGGGGAATGGAGGTAGACAGGGAAGGGGTGAGGGGCTTTCACTCTCTATGCTCCTGTAACATTTAATCTCCTAAACATAAGATGTATTTACATGTCGCTTGGATAATTAAAATCCAGCATTGCTGTGTCCTCTTGCCTCTCCTGGATAAACTAATCATGTAAACTATCATTCAATTCTGAAAGATTTCACTGACATTTCAGGACCACGCCCAGCGCACAAACACTTGCACCTGTGCACAGCACCCCACCCTCTCCCTTTTACGTGCTCCTTCAGAGGTGATTTGGCGCCGTCCACACCGCATCCTTTAACGAGATGTTTGGAGGAGTGACTGGGGATATAGCTGAAATGCTGGGTTATTAAAGCAGCACACCCGAAACCTTTAAAACAGCCGCTCCTCCTTTCAGCCAGTCTTAGCTAGGCTTGGGCATGTCCCCAAACAACACAAACCTGGTGGTAGGACCCTTTCATGACACATCTTAATTAACTGATTGATCGGGGTCGGGGTAAGTGAAGAAGAGACTGAAGGCTGGGATGGGGGCAGGTAGGCGAGTCTCAAACACAACCCCAAACTCAAAATGTAATAACAATCGAAAGAGACACACACACCCAGGAGCTCAGCTGTGCAAACACTCCAGGAATATGATGTGCTTTGGACGCAGAGGCTAAATGAAAGGTTCTTGATAAAGACGGGGTCCACGGAAACCCAGGCTTCACAAGACACAGATTCTCGCACCAAGAATATGTCTGCCCAGTTGCCATTGATCATCCCCCATTAGGTGGCCGAGCCCCGCAGCACCATTCCAAATTCTGCAACCATGCACGGTGATCGATATTTATAATTACCTTTCTCCTTCACCATGGCAACCGGGTCCTCTGGCGAGCGGCACGGAAGGAAAGAGGAATAAAGCCTAGGAGCGGGAGCGCGCCTGGGGAGGCAGATCCGCCCGGGCAGAGGCGGCGAGGGAAAAGCCCCGGCATCCACTCGCCAGGTCCCAGGCTTCTTTCTAAAATCCCGCCCCCAGCGCGCAGGGCCGAGCTCAGGTGCCCGCCCCGGCGATCGCCAGCGAGCTGCGCCGCGCCCTGCTCGGGGACTCTGCCCTTGGGCCGAAACCACTCGCTACAGCTGCTGCTGTAACAAATGCAAAATTCCACTGCCCTAATCTCTGGACACTGACACCACCTTGCATTCCTCGCGCGAGCCCCGGCAGAAACGCGCAACGACACGCTCCCGGGGCCCCCGCCCCTCCCGGGGTCTGAGAAATGATTGCCAGAAGAGGAGGGGGGGTGGGTCAGAAACAGTGAGGGGCTGTTTAATCAGTAAAACGAGTCAATTATTAGCTTATTAAGTTTCCTATTACTGCTGCTTTCATTCTTTCTACAGCTTGTTTCAGACAGACTGAATAAATAAAATTAGCCTTAGTAGAGACAGAATGCTCATGGCTACTTCGGGTTCATTTGATTCAACTTTTAAGGTCCTGGAGACTCAACTAGAATGCAAATGATTAATAATAATAATAATAATAATAATAATGCCATTCTATTTGCCCTGCTGCTCCCTGCTCTGGTTTACCTGAATGGGGGTGAGGGGGTGGGAATGAGACAGTGAGAGCCTGGGAAAGGGGAATCTTTTCGGGGTTCAATTACTTATCTAGGATCAAGTTCTGGATCAAAGTAAAATTCTGACTTATCCAGGTAGGCAGAATTCTGACTCCTATCTTCTCTCTGCTTCATTAGAGTTTTCTAGACAAACCCCTTGGGTGTGTATATGTGAGGGAGGAACCCTAGCTACAAAGCGAGGGGCGAATGGTCACGCCAGCACCCCGCACCGGCCTGAGCCTGACCCGACAGCAGTGGCTGCTGGCAAGGCTTTTGATTTCTGACCCGCGGGGTCACAGGTCACTCTCCTGGGAGCAGAGCACTTCCGGGGTCACAAAGACAGTCCCTGTCTCCCACACCCAGATCATTTGTTCTGTCCCCACCGCATGGCATATACATCCACCATGTGGGGGAGATGTGACGAGCAAGAGACAAAAAGACAGACGTATTGCCGCTCCGGAGCGCAGCAGATGGCCAACACTGCCTTTCTCAACCAGAATGCACAGCCAGTATTAGACTGTATTTACTGCAAATATTGTGCCGTGTTGGGTCTAAGGGAGCCAGGGTAATAGAAAGGAATGAAGTCAATCCACCTGCCTCATCTTTGACTAGAGGTTGTTTATAGCCGAAATTGCGTTTGTGGGACTGAGCCAGGCCTTTATTGCTGGTTTTCTGATGGGTAACAGTAGCAGTTCTCAAGCAGCTGTGACATTCCGACATCTGTGACTCAGGGCTTTGCTATTAATAGCCTGGGTGTCTCAGCCTGTGAGCAAGGGCTAAGTCCCCGCCAACCCCTGAGTCGTCTTTTCTATGACACACACTTCACCCACACAACTAACTCCCTGCCTCCACTGCAGCCCGGGAGGGTGGCGTTCTTCCCAAGTCAGAGGCCAGCTGGGGGATAAACACTGAGGAACCTTTAAGCAGCTTCTCTACCCTCCATTCACAACTATGAGCCAAGCACGAGAGCAACACGACCTCCAATCCAGAGGGATGGGCAGGGTTGACTATGGAGATGAGCCCTTTACGTTCCCAAATTTCCATGGCCTCCGAGACCTTAAGGAGATGCTGACGAGCAGAAATCAACCTCGGAGAGCTGGAGTTGGTTTGGTGCTGTGAGCCTAGCAGGTGAATTTATTTTATTATATTTTTGCTGCATAAATTGATGAGCATCTCACTTAGGCACACCTCTCCAAGGCATTTCTGTTACTCAGCTCAAAGCTAAGGGCGCAGTGCTTCCTCCCTCCTGCCCCTCCCCCTCTGTCCCTCATGGAATGTGACAGTAAAACTCCATTGGTTTTCTAGTCCCAAACCGATCACACATAAGTGTTCCAGATACTATGAATGCAATTAGTTCAATTTCTCTTTTACACAGGATGACAATTTTTCGTTCTGAAATTTATTAACTAAACTGGTTCCCTATTACAGTTCTGAACCTACCTGTATACCTTTGTGGATAAATTCCCAGAAACCCTGGTTTCAAAAGCTCTCTGGCAGCGCTGGAGACTAAGCTAGCAGAGGAACAGCTGGTGCCTATTCATTTTCAGAGAGGCCTTTTCTAAAGGAAAATACTACATAGTGGTTCAGAGAGACTGTCCCCCCTCCTGTGTTTTCCGTGGAAAGAATTTTCCTGTACCACAGTCAAAGTGAATGAGTCACCGGCATTTAGTTGCTAAATAACAGTCATCTGGTTAAAGTCCCCCCAACAATCAGACCTGCTACTTTAGGATAAAAGCGGCCACTCTGCACTTTTAAGATAACTGAAGAGGGCATTACTAAAGTTATTTTCGGAATGTGGGAGAGCGAAACTAAATTGTTTTCCTCTCCTTGCCTGGGGCCCAATAGTTCAGAGATTTCAGAAGCAAAGCATAGATATTTTCTACTTTAGATATTTCTACTGTAGATATTTGCTACAAGAAGTACAGCAAAATAAATCAAGAAAACAATGAAAAATTTACAGTTCATAAGACGGCAGGACATTTTATTCTTATTTCTAGGGATGATTTCCAAAGAACTTAATCTCGATCTCATTCCACTCAGATGAGGCAAGACTTCATAACACAGACACCAACTCACGATTTTATTTGTAGTGTCATTTCCCAAACTGACTCGCGGCCTTCTTTTCATTTACCCACAGAATGAAGCCCACAGTTGTCTGCAAGTGACCAAAGGACAGAAACCATTTTGTTGGAGAGAAAAGCTTGGTTAGCATACAGCCACTCTTGGCAAAACTTCAAGAGCACATCATTTCAATAGAAGCCGTGCCAATGAGGAGGGAAATGTTACAACCTGAACACAAGCAACCTAACAGAATCCACTTCCTCATGGCTCTCTGTCTTCAACAGAGCCAAAAACTGCCTACTGCTTGTGCACCTGTAGGACAGGAGGTTCTGGACCCAAGGTTTACAGGTAACCCACCTCCCTCCGTGCCATTGGCAAAAGAGCACTCCGTATCCTTTCTAGCAGAATTCAGCTGAAAGAAAACTCAAGAATGAGTTCCTTATTTGCTTTCTATTTAATGTTTACATCTGTCAACCTCACTGTGACATTTATGGAGCATCTACTGCATGCCAAGTACTGGGATGGCAGTACGAGAACAAGAGAGAAAACGCTGCTCTGGAGTTAACATCTCGTGGAGGAGATGCATATGCACGAATATTCTCAAGGAAATTAGGGAGGTGCTAGGACAGAAGAAGGGTGTGCAGGGTTCAGGGCAGGGCTGAGTCCAACGGGGAGCCAGGACGGACTTCCAGGAGGAGAGAGAAGGCAGGTGAGGGCTGCCAAGTTAAGACGTGGGAAAAGATCATTCCACGTGGAGGTTGTGGGGTAAGAAGGTACCACGTAGTTTATTGTTCATGGGATACAGGGAGATGCTCAAGCTAAGGGCAAGATGGTTGGTCACGGAGGGCTCTGAAGGCCATGCTAAGGAGGGTGGACTTTAGAAGTGACGTGTTTAGAGTCTCAAACTTGAGCTACCGATTTCATTCCAAGTTAAGAGCAAAAGACTTTGGCTGCATTTCCAAGTCCACCACGATCTGTTTCCAACCATACTGCCTCCTTCCTCCAAACCGGGTTGTGCTATGTGTACATGCCCAGTTTTTAGCAGACTGCTGGACACGTAATAGATGCCCAAGGAGTGTTTAAGCTTATTACTTTATCTAAATATTTCCCTGATCAATAGAATAACATGACAGCCATGCACATCTCATACGGAGCAATTTAGGTAGCACAGACCAATTGATTTATTTTTCTGTAGCAGTGGCTTCATGTCCACAACTAGGCTGTGAGCCCCAGGAAGCAAGGAGGGTTTCATGCTTTTCTAGACTCCCAAGAGTATAGTCTGCAGACTCCACGGACAGAAATACTGAGGGTGCTTTAAAGGCAGACACCTGGTCCCCACCCAAGGTCTGATGCCTCAGATTCCCTGGCAATGAAGCCTGAGCTGCATCCAGCTCCTCACGTGACTAAGGACCACTGGCCTAGCACACTGGCCGGCATAACAGGAGATGGATGAACATGAGATTTACAAACAGAGCTATACACCATTCTACCACTTCTAAAAAATACAACACCCATTCTTTCAGCTGGCCAAAATAACAATCATCCTGACATTCACTGCAATCTTAATGAAAATTTATTGGAAGTGATGGTTTTAAAGTTTTCTACAGTTGGAGACGAATTCCTAAATGTCTGAGCCCTCTTGATCCTACTAAGTCTCTTGTCTTCAACTGAGAATTCTTAGGATTTTTTCCATATGAATCTCAAAGAATCAACATTCAGCCAAGTTCTTTTCTAAGAGTTCTTAGAGCAGAATTATTTACATTTGTATCCAAAACTTCCCCATGGTCCTTCTCAGAAGACACTTCTGAGTTTGGACCTAAGCAACAGATTGCAGCTTGAGAAAATGACAAAAATTACTAAAGTGTATTTAACGTTCCCAATAAATAATCCACTAAGGATGAAAATATAGAGTGAGTATAAAACAAGCCACTTTTCTTCAAGTGTGCTGGAATCTATTACCAGATTTCAAAGGATCTTTTGATAGTAAAGAGAGTTTCACAGATTTTAGCTTAATTTCAGGTATGTGAGAAGTTCACAAGGAATACAGAAATAGCTCCAAATTATTTGGGAAAAGGCCATTTTTTTCTACAGTTTACTATTAGCTTTATCCCTTTCCTTAATATTGTCTAAGAAGAAACACAGCGATTAGAATAGAAAATGGTCACTTTCTATCACCTAGAACTGCAGTGCCTTCCCTAGCAACACACCCATCTTCCTGGCACTTAAATACCACCAGTGCTCCAAACTGTCCAGCTAAGGATGAGCCCAAAAGGCCAAGATTATGATGCTACTCACCTACCTTAAGGAGTCCAAGAACTAATGAAGGATAAGGTATCGAGAAAGAAGATACTGCAATGATGGATTCGCATGTCTATTTTTGCAAGAGATTGTGAACATTTGGAGAGAAGGGACCACTTGTGAATATATGCGAATATCTGTATTCACATGGTGACAGGCACAAAGTAGGAATGCAACAGTTGATGAGTACTAAGGAATAAATGTCACTAGCTGACCATCGAGAGTCAAAACACTAGACAGGCATTCATTTTTGTAGTCAAATAGACTGTTTTAAAAATCTAACTAAAACAAATTAAAAGTAAATTCAGTCTCATATAAAAATCGATTTAATCATTGCTTTAAAGTATATTCCAGGATGCAAACCAATGACGTGCTGTGGAGAGAAAGCAAGCTGGAATAGAACTCCATCGAGGGGTGATTTTTACGAAGTCCCCTTAATAACTAACTCTCGCCACCACTTTTGTCACCATTGTCGTCTCTTTATATTTATCACCTCATGTAGCCCTCACAACAACTAGATGAGGTAATAATATTATACTTTACACACGAGGAAAGCGTTAGGCTTGTTAAAATAGAAAAGCCACAGGACGTCCTTTTGCCTCGTTGGGCCTTCTCTTCTACAAAGGTTATGAAAGATCCTCTCCTTCTCTTTCTCCACCCTTCACCCCTGCCCCCCGCCACCACCACCCCCCACACACTTTTTTGAGTTAAGATGCACTCAGCGTACACTGACTTCTTTGGCATTTCCAAAAGACCTGGCATAATGGAAACGTTGTGTTTTGCCTTGTCTGTGTAAAACAATCGTCTCTCCTGATACCTTATCCTTTGTTAGTTCTTGGACTTCTTATGGTAGCACCTGCCAGGTTAACAACATCATAACCTTGGCCTGTTGGACTCATCCTTGGCTGGGCAGGAGAAGATGGTGTACCCAAGCCCACATATCAAGTCTTTAAGATGCAAGCCAAATCATCCATTGTGAGTAATCATTCTCAGGGAGTACTCCTCCCGTGGTTTACATAGAGACAGATGAAATTTGGGGGTTGCGGGGGGTAGTGGGGAGAGAGGGAGGGAAGTCACAGCATTTCTGCAAGGTTTCCAAATCCTACATTTGCTCTCCTCACTTAGCCTTACAGTTCTGGTTATGGCCTGGCACACTCCCAGAAAATAACCTCCCTCTCATTCTCCTAGGACATTTTGGCCCTCATCTGAGGGACAGGCCAAAATAAGCATGCAAAGCACATAGCCGTTACTGCATTTGCTTCTACAGGAAGGTGTCTTTGTCACCCAACACATGTCTCAGTGACTTACCCCAGTTCTTAGTACAAAGAGAAAAGGGATCATGCAACTGATAACTCTGGTTTGTGAAAAACTATAACTTGTATGAAAAAAAATTGGCATTAAATTTAGTGCACATGTAAGATGAAAACCAAAGTCTTCAGGCAGACTTGTCCAAGGTTGCACAGTTACTTAAAAAATGGGTCCAAAGCCTGGTGTCTTACCTCCTACCTCGTGGTTATTTCATTATGCCACACCGACCTCACAGACGGCCTGGTCAAAACACTGAATGTTTGAATTCCAGCTCCACCACACCCCGAGGGACCTTAGGCAGATTATTTTCTCTCTCTGGGTTTCGGCAGGCTCATCTGTGAACGGTAATGACACGCTCCACTTGTGAGGCTGTGGTGAGGATGGGGCTGGCTTCGTATCTGTGAACGGTAATGACACGCTCCACTTGTGAGGTGAGGATGGGGCTGGCTTCACGGGTGTGTGACCTGCACAGCTGCAAAGGGCCCTGTGCTCAGAAGGGCCCTCCGTTTGGTTTGATGCTTTGCCGTTGCCATATTGAAATGTGTAATAATTTTATCTTTGAACTTGTGTTTTGTAAGTGAAGTCCGATGGGACAATGGGGTCTGAGCAGACAAGATAGTGCGGTGTGTGTGTTTGCTATTCTTGCTACCCCATTTGCATGTAGTGTTTGCACATGAGCAAAGAATTCCAGTGGAATGATGGCTGGGAACTCAGGGAGACTCAAAATGAATACAAGGTAAGTATTTTACATCTATGATTGGGGAAACAGGGGTGAGGAGAGGTCAGTTTCCATTCAAGCCAGAATGTTTGCTTCAAATGCGCAAAGAATGCAGAGGTGTTTTAGGAAACACAAACAACCAAGAAAGCCTATCCCGTCTTTTCCTACCCATGGTTTACGTCCTCTATGACCCAGCCACTTAAATTGCAAATAATGACGCAGAAGGAAAGGAAAAGATAGAGCAAGCCACTTCTTCCTTTCCTTACTCATCAGTAAGCCAAAGGCAGAATGTTGGTAGAATGTGTAGAAACAAAAGACAGTTGAGTTAGCCTTCCCACTCTTCTTGAAAGAATGAAGTACATAGGTATCTACGATCTATAAAATATAAACGGTGTGATTTCAGTGATTCTACATGTGTTAAATACTCTTATATTTTCATTTAATATGGGCCCTGCACAGTATAAACGTGCGAGGTAAAGTTTGTGTTAATAATTTTGAATTTTACTTTTTTTAGAACAACATTAAATAGCAACTAAAAACGAAATGACAAAGTGAGAAAAAGTTTGTGGAATAAAGAAAAAGCTTTACTTTTTAGTACCTTTAATGGCAATTTATTCCTGCACTTTGAACAAGGTGCCCTCCCATTCTCCTTTTGCATCAGGTCCTGTAAATTATGTACCAGGTGCTGGGTGAGCATGAGAGAGTCTCTAAACGAAATGAAAGTACCTGGCACAGTGGCTGACATCGAGAAGAAGCGCGAGGAAGGGTAATAATGACCGTTACTATTTAGTTTCTCACTGCTTCATCAATTGACAACAACATAAGATAGAAGGTGATCAATCCTACGGAGAAACATCAAAGCTGGAGAATAGAGAGTTTTGAGGGGATGAGTGTGGTTTTAAGTGAGTGGCCGAGGCAGGCCTCTTTGAGAAAGTGCCATTTGAGTAAATCTGAAAGAGATGGGAGAATAAGCCATATGGATCTGAGGAAACAGGATCCGAGACGGAGTGAACAACGAGGGCAAAGATCCTGAGGGGAGAGCTCACCTGGTGTGTTCAGGAAGAAGCCAGTGAGGCTGGAAGCAGGTGAGAGCAGGAGTGAAGTCAGGGAGGCGAAAGAGTTAGGGCCCTGTGGGTCATGGCAGGAACTCTGGCTTTTACCGTGAGGGAGGTGAGAAGTCGCAGAGAAAGTCACCTGATCTGTTATTTCCACAGGATCCTTTGGGCTTCTGTGCGGTGAACTTGAATGAAGGGGAGCGGGCACAGATGGAGGGATGTTAGTGCACGAAATTAAAAAGAGGTCAAGGGTGAGATGATGATACAACAAAATGAGATGATGATTACGGAAATAAGAAATAAAAACCGAGGACCAAGAGAGTATCGGTAGCAGTAAACGAAAGGTGATTAGATACTGATAAAATATCTAATCCCGAGCATAGAACACTGTTTGAGATAACCTCAATGAATGCGAAAGAGCCGAAAACAATGAAAGAAAACCAACAGATGTGCAAAAAACGGAAGACTTCAAAAAAACTTACGTCCTCGAAGTAGAGTAGCTAAGGAACAGAAGAGGTCATCAAAGATCTAATACGTGAGAATTTCCTTTTAACGAAGATAGGTTTGAACTTGCAGATTTAAAGAGATAGATATAATATCTTGGCAAAATTTGATACAGAACGCTAACTCCAAGTCCTAGTCAAGGCTTCTGGATTTCAAAGGATATCATCCTCTGAATACTGAGACAGAAGAAACCTAGCACCCACAAAAAGAGAAAAACTCAGGCTAACCTCAGACTTCTCAAAAGCAGTGTTGATGCACAGAAGACAATGGAGCAAGACCTGGAAGTCTCGTGGGAATGAAAGTGTGTATAAGAACCTTACATTCAGCCAAAATATTGTTCAGACATAAAGGCAATGGCGAACCACCACAAACACAAAGGCACTCCAGAGATACAACACCGCAAACCCTTCTTAGGAAAACATCTTGACAACGACATGTAGCCAATGAAGAGATGAGTTACAATAAGCCCAGGAATACAAATATTGTAGTAAAGGACTAGCAGTAAGCAGTGAATTCTATTAAATATGAAACAGATACCCTAATTACTGCAATATGGTTCTAGAAGAAAATGGCAATATTTGGAACAAAAAAAGCAAAGAACAATAAGAAAACAATAAGATACCAACAAAAACCAGGAGGTGAGTAAGAGAGAAGTCCTAGAGTGACACTCTCCCTGTTTTCACAGCGGGAAGAAAGTTATTTGCACCAGATTGTCCAGGATTTTTGCTCTAAGCATCTCACAGAGTCTCAAATTATATCACCCAACTGCTTCATCTTTGCTTAGCGATTATGCTGTTTGCATACTTCAACTCCTGTTTCTTGAACTTGGAAAGGCAAAGGGTATCACAAGGCAAATATATCTTTGTACTGATTATATCCAGATTCTTGGTGCAAGCACCAGAATTGTTGCTTATTTATTTAGATCTAGGATTTCCATAGCATCTTTGTTTCAGAAAGGTTGCTAAATGAAAAAAGAAAAAAAAAAAGATGATATACTGGTACTAAGGATAGTTAGTTACAGATGGTTTTATTTTTCTTTGTAGTTATTTAGCATACACATTCATGAAAATGTCATGGCATTCCCCATGACAAAATTTTCATTTATCAACATAGGGTCTTGCCCAGGTATAATGGCATGCCTTGGGGGTGCTTTGACCCCTCCATTCTTCTGTCCCCATTCTACCCCTCTTTTGAGTAGGCATCGGGCCATATGACTTCTCACCTTGGCCATGGCTGACTAAATTGTTAGTAGACACTGAGGGAGAGGATGAGAACCCATATAGCAGAGGGTTGAACACTTAAAATTTATATCCTGTCTTGAAAAAGATGGGCTGGGCCAATGAGAATTTTATTCCTGGGAATCTGAACCAAAAGACATACAGAAATGTCCAGTCAGTGGCAGGTATTTGTAGTAAAAGATCAAGAAAGACTAGGCTGGGGGCGGGCTTCGCAGAGACATGTGGATGCTAAAATGCCGAGGGGTAGTGTGTCAGGGGAAGCCAGCTGGGAGGGAGGAGAATGGACCACTCCCCAAAAGTGAACCGATGGGCCTGCAGCGGCCTGGAATTCTATGCTTCCTGAGGCCTGGATGTTCAGCATTTCTTGCGTTTCTATGAGACCTCTCTGTTCTTACACATATATGCTCCTCCCTCATTTGATTGCTCGTCTCCTTGGCATTCACCTCTACAAGTCAAGCCTGGTAACTAGAAATATCACGATGGCAGATGGGGAGGCAG